CGTGCGAAAAAAACGCGCGGGGATTGTGACACATAGTCTGCGACGCGGGCCGGGTTCTCCGAGTCTCCGTAAATTACAGAAACTCGTGCGAGATGAGCGCGGCCGTAAATACTTGGTTATCATAGTTGGCGGAAGCACGACGGGGACATTATACCTGCATTCACGTTCATCGTGGTCAGAGATGGCGGCACACACCGCGTTCTGGACAGGCCGCTCAACGTTTCCATTCATCGGTGTGGATATCAAATGCAATAGTTCATGGCGATGCTTCCGACTAGGTGGTCGACCAGTCCTCGACCTCTACCTCTCCTAATCCAACCACCCAGCGTTTCACACCGGTCCCTGGCAGATTTACAGGCGCCTGGCTTGATATCTGCATCCGAGAGTCGCCCGTGTTAGACGCACATGTTCTCTCTCTCTCTCTCTCTCTCTTTCTCTCTCCTCTCTCTCTCTCTTTCTCTCTCCTCTCTGGACTTTCCGTCACACCGGTGACTTTGCAGTAGTGTCATCTGAGATAATTAAGCGAATAATCGACTGATTAAAATCGAGGATTGAGAGACAGCTTGCTAATAAGCTTCCTCATCCTTTCTCTCTCGAATGTTTTTCACATAACGCGATATCAGTTGTATGATACTATTTCCATCTTTTTCTTCCATCTTTGTAAACGTTTGAATATTTCGCTTTAAATTGTTTCTTGGACCGAGAAAGGTTTGAAAAAGAAATAATAAAGGTATAGATATATAACGAACACGTATCTACAATGATCTATGAATAGAGCCTGTTCAACGTTTTCTCTTTTCTTCTGCTTTATTCGATGGAAAAGCTAAGTTTTATTCGCGAGTAAATTTTTAATGCAGGGTCTCTTACAAAAACTTTAATATTAAAGGAACATACAATTTCTATTCAAAGAAAGCAATTTCTGCCTTTCCTTTTACACTTTCCGAGTGATGAAATATCGCTTCCCTTTCAGCTGACATCTTACCATCGGTCGCGTATATCAGCCGTATGTGGAGTGATAAATAAAATAGTACTCTATAGTGTGCGCGTTCTGTAAAAGGTTAATATTTGAGCGCTACGGGGTAGTACGAAGTATTGCCGGAGTAACATTTATTCGCGCTTGAGGGAGGAAAAACGTTGTTAAGCGTCGCGATCGCACGAGCGAATCCGTCAATGAGCGAATCCGCGATCCGCAAACGAGCCCGGTCGAGTCGGGGATTTCATCACATGCGTATACGGTACAAACCGGACCGTTAAGAAAAATCTGATTTTTTTCCAGAATTCCGCGAAAAACCCGGGCAATAGCGAACGGGCGCTTTTTACATGGGATCGTTGCATTCGCCGGGTCGGCTCCGTTTGTAAGGTCTTGTCCGTTTTTTACGAATGTTATGCACGTTCGGCCGGGCAGATGCCCGAATGCGTATTCTCACGATGCTGGTAACATTTTGCGAGCTGTGTATGCGTTCCTATGCATCCCTATCTTCAAAGGCAACGGGATAATGGAATTGCCTATTTCAGTGCGCGCAAACATTTATTCCCGCGGATATCTCGTTTACGTTATAATTTCTGGGATGACGTGCCGGTGACGTTTAGCGCCCTGAGGGCTCGACTCGCGCGTTTCGTCGACCGAGGGAGATGATTACTTTAAAGAAACGCCAGAAGCGACCGTCTCTCTTTTTCCCCACAAGCTCGCAAGCTCGCTTTACAAAGGAAACGTGCCGATCGCGTAATCGAATGTTACGCTCGGGAGGAGCGTGCAGGACGAAGTAAACATGCGGTAACGTGGCGGAGAAAAATGTTAAGAATATGTTCGGTCGATTTATTTAATGTCAATAACATTTCTTTGTATATAGATATTGCTTTTTAGTATAAAAATCGCACTGAGCGATGCTCAAAATGACGATACACAACAAGCTTCTTTGAATTAATTCGCCGATTGTTGTGTATAAATATACACTTTCAGGTATCAATATTCGGGACGTTTAATAAAAATCTAACGATAAACGTGCGAAGCGCATTTATGCGACATATATGCACATATAAATCTGCATTATGTCTCTCGAAAGTTCATGGGTGGATCGTTATAATTTACTATAACTTCGTGATCCATACATAATTATTCTAATGCCATATCTAATTCATCGCGATTTATATTTCGTATCGTGGCTTGATACGTCCGCTCGCTAAATTACAATAGATTACTTGATCGACTATCTGGCATGAATAGTATGCAACAAACCGGGGGCAATTATCCGGGGAATTGCGTTATACGAGATGCGGTGCGAATAACTCGCGAATAAAGGAACATTAAACTGTTGGAATAATATAATAACAGAATGGCCGTCTCTCCGGATGATCTCGCAGCATTTTATTTTTCTCGCGAAGCGACCGCGCCGTGAAAAATTATAATTGATATGGACGGACCGGAAACCGAGGGGGAATAATCCGAAGGCGAACGCTGGGGAAACGTAGACGGCGGGAAAAGAATCGCTGGTCCGTTGAACTGGAATACAAAAGTCGGCTGGAGACTTATGAATTAAAGTGAAAATGTCGGTCTCGGTCGTACATTTCACAGGACAAAAAAGGAATTTTTTCTCTTTCTCTTTTTTTTTTTTTTTAACAAGAATGCATATCTCGAATATTTATCGTTGATATATGTCATATTAACAATTAGGTATTTTTTATTTATAAAAGTATATTACTCTATTTAGTAGTTATATTATATATACAAACTATGTAAGATATCATTTTAATATAACGGGAATTAGAATTTTTGCGATAAGGCCACATAACATATGACAACTTTATTTTAGATGAAATATTAATAATATTTGAGCGCTACGGGGTAGTACGAAGTATTGCCGGAGTAACATTTATTCGCGCTTGAGGGAGGAAAAACGTTGTTAAGCGTCGCGATCGCACGAGCGAATCCGTCAATGAGCGAATCCGCGATCCGCAAACGAGCCCGGTCGAGTCGGGGATTTCATCACATGCGTATACGGTACAAACCGGACCGTTAAGAAAAATCTGATTTTTTTCCAGAATTCCGCGAAAAACCCGGGCAATAGCGAACGGGCGCTTTTTACATGGGATCGTTGCATTCGCCGGGTCGGCTCCGTTTGTAAGGTCTTGTCCGTTTTTTACGAATGTTATGCACGTTCGGCCGGGCAGATGCCCGAATGCGTATTCTCACGATGCTGGTAACATTTTGCGAGCTGTGTATGCGTTCCTATGCATCCCTATCTTCAAAGGCAACGGGATAATGGAATTGCCTATTTCAGTGCGCGCAAACATTTATTCCCGCGGATATCTCGTTTACGTTATAATTTCTGGGATGACGTGCCGGTGACGTTTAGCGCCCTGAGGGCTCGACTCGCGCGTTTCGTCGACCGAGGGAGATGATTACTTTAAAGAAACGCCAGAAGCGACCGTCTCTCTTTTTCCCCACAAGCTCGCAAGCTCGCTTTACAAAGGAAACGTGCCGATCGCGTAATCGAATGTTACGCTCGGGAGGAGCGTGCAGGACGAAGTAAACATGCGGTAACGTGGCGGAGAAAAATGTTAAGAATATGTTCGGTCGATTTATTTAATGTCAATAACATTTCTTTGTATATAGATATTGCTTTTTAGTATAAAAATCGCACTGAGCGATGCTCAAAATGACGATACACAACAAGCTTCTTTGAATTAATTCGCCGATTGTTGTGTATAAATATACACTTTCAGGTATCAATATTCGGGACGTTTAATAAAAATCTAACGATAAACGTGCGAAGCGCATTTATGCGACATATATGCACATATAAATCTGCATTATGTCTCTCGAAAGTTCATGGGTGGATCGTTATAATTTACTATAACTTCGTGATCCATACATAATTATTCTAATGCCATATCTAATTCATCGCGATTTATATTTCGTATCGTGGCTTGATACGTCCGCTCGCTAAATTACAATAGATTACTTGATCGACTATCTGGCATGAATAGTATGCAACAAACCGGGGGCAATTATCCGGGGAATTGCGTTATACGAGACGCGGTGCGAATAACTCGCGAATAAAGGAACATTAAACTGTTGGAATAATATAATAACAGAATGGCCGTCTCTCCGGATGATCTCGCAGCATTTTATTTTTCTCGCGAAGCGACCGCGCCGTGAAAAATTATAATTGATATGGACGGACCGGAAACCGAGGGGGAATAATCCGAAGGCGAACGCTGGGGAAACGTAGACGGCGGGAAAAGAATCGCTGGTCCGTTGAACTGGAATACAAAAGTCGGCTGGAGACTTATGAATTAAAGTGAAAATGTCGGTCTCGGTCGTACATTTCACAGGACAAAAAAGGAATTTTTTCTCTTTCTCTTTTTTTTTTTTTTTAACAAGAATGCATATCTCGAATATTTATCGTTGATATATGTCATATTAACAATTAGGTATTTTTTATTTATAAAAGTATATTACTCTATTTAGTAGTTATATTATATATACAAACTATGTAAGATATCATTTTAATATAACGGGAATTAGAATTTTTGCGATAAGGCCACATAACATATGACAACTTTATTTTAGATGAAATATTAATTATAATTATATTATATTATATTATTAGAAAAAAATATCGATAAAAATTAGATGCACTTTGAAACTAATCATAATTTTAACATATTTGTGTGTGTCATGAGCTTAAATAGATGATAAAAATAAACCCATTTGAAACAATAATGGAACAGTGGAACACATTTGGGACAGTGTAACACAACAGTATAACAACAGTTTAATAGTATAATAAATGTATACGACGAGCTAATAATTATTTCAATTCCATATTATGTTGTTGTAACCGTACATAATCGGTCCGCGACCATGAATTGGCTATCCGATTAACGATTCGAATATTAATGCGGATTTTAATATTGATTAATCTATCTGTATAGTCTCCGGGATTGTGCGGCACATATGATAATGATATATATAATATTTATTTCGTGCTTTTCAGGTGGCATGGTTGCGTGTCGACACGCAGACTATTTTGACGATAGCGAGCCACGTGATCACGAAGAATCACAGGATCGCGGTTTCTCACAGCGACCACCGAACGTGGTTTCTTCACATACGGGAAGTGCGAGAGTCCGATAGAGGCTGGTACATGTGTCAGATAAATACGGATCCTATGAAGAGCCAGATCGGTTATCTCGAGGTGGTCGGTGAGTAAAACTACGTCTCACTTCTCTCGTTAATGGATCGGCCGTAATTATCCCGATTCATTTATATCGTTGTCGCGCTTCATATAGAGGTAAATTCTCTCGAATGGAATATCGGCAGTCATTACGCGCCTCGTTATTATGCTTCATTATGCTTAGGTGAAAACTAATTTATCATTTCCTCGCATTTATATATCATTATATTCCCATTCATTATTAATATACGTTGCGTAACTGTATTTAATAGAAGTAAAATGAGCGTTATATTGAAATAATGGACTTGAAGTAAAGTCGCTCGCATTCGATATCAACTCGTCGTTATTATATATTCGCGTCAGGTATATCCGGGTATTAGATTAAATTCAATTAATACTACAAGAAGCTAATAACGAAACGGTACGCCATTGAGTACCCGCAATATTACATCCGATACGATGGAATAACGCGGAGGTCGTCGAAAAGGTAAAGGCACTAGAATCACAAATCCGCCAAACCAATGCAAAACTTTCGACCGATGCAAGTTAGTCCGCGGCCCGTTGGTTGGTACAACTTACAAAGTGGCCCTTGCCGCAGTTCGAAGACTACGCGAGTACTCGCGAACTGCAAAGCTTCCGCGTCGTATATCGCTGCTCGAATGCACTCGCAAGTAGATTATGTAGAATGCTAATAGTGCCGCTTTCATCGGTTCCGTCGGTTAAAGAGACTTCGTTTCGAGTTCCGCCGTGCGACTCCTCCACCCTCGTTCATGACTGCCTCGTATCATAATTTTCTCGCGTTTTCTCTCTCTGATTCGTCGTTTAAGCGATGCTCTCCTCTCATCTCCACTCTTCCCTTTCTCCGCGAGAAAAGTTTTTCCCGCTTTTCGTTATGCTTCTTATATTAATGACGAAATTTGCTATTCCATTGCCAAGAGAGGAAGACCGCGGTTCGCTATTTATACTAAAGTCCGTATTAAGGTTTGAATACGCCGGGTTTAATCCTTGCGCGTACTGTATCGTGCGCGGGTAAGTGGCAATTTCCATAGATAATGTTACTCGTAATTGTACGGAAATAGGATGATGCGTCGGAGATATGCGATTGTGATTGTGTTGGTGACCGATCGTGTAGGATGTATGAGCGAGTTGGCATGTTTCGGCTATGAGCATTAAACGTGACTTCAGCTATAATATCGAATGATATAACAATGTATATTTGTTGTTTGAAATGGAAATTAATTTTATAATTTATTATATATATATTATTCTTTATTATATTTTTGACTTATCTAAAGGAAACATTGTAAAGACTTAAAAAGGCTTATTTTTTATTTTTACTTTTGTGTGTAATAAATGTATTTTTCTTTGCTCAGAAATATACGCGTATATAATTAGTAAGTATACATACATAATAATAATTTATTTCATTATTAAAAAACATTTATTTTATTTATTAATATACTGCAGAGTAGAAAAATATCGCGCGTTTTACAATGGAAAGAAAAAAATTTGTATTACATCACACAATATATTATAGCAAAGTACGTCGTAGTTGAAGTAAAATATAAAAAGTATTTATGCTCTTTTCTTGAGATTCTTTTATCGGTGATACGGGCGATTCAAAACTCGTTATTTCTCGAATCTTTTTCGCATGCTTCAAAGTCGACGAAAGTAAGGTCCCTCCTCTGAGATTTCCGAGAATGCGAGTTATACTTTCTTTAATGGCCTCTCGATATTCATCCGTAAAATCTACTTGCGTCTCTGTCAACTGATACGACGAACAAATGAACTGATGGCACATTATAATGACGCGAACTAGATCGGTTTAGTAAACGATCGAGGCAACAATGTTCGCAAGATATAGTTGCCAGAAATTATTGTTAAATATTTATATATCGCCGTACCTGTGCGCGAGCAGAAAGTAGCGAACGTTTCCGACATGCCCTCTCGAAGGAACCACTCGAGGACCGGGCCGGCTCTCGGTTCCGCCGGTCTTGCAATGTAGTAGAGTTCGTTGCGTTTGTTGTATACTTTACGGTCTTCCGTCCCGGTCTTCTCTGCCGCTCGTACCGAAATCAAATTGGCATTCTCGAGATACGGCCAGGCTCTCGCATCCCATCTGTAGCAATCTAATCCCGCGCTCCAGGATCCGCTCCGGCCGGCGGCGGCGGCGGCGCACCAGTACTCTCGCGCGCGCGTCGACCTGACCTGACCCTCTTTCCCAGATTCAGACCTGGTCGGTCGGGACGCCGAGTATAACCGAGACCGGACTACTTACGGAACTTCTCGTCTCCCTCGTGGGATCATTCCGCATCCCCTCGCGACTCGCCCGATAGAAGTATCCGGCAAATGCAATGCTGCCGCGCTTTCTATTTTAACAGCGCCCGCGTCGTCGCGGTCGCCGCTTAAGAAATCTGCTCGCCCGCCCGTAGCTAGACCGCCGAAGGCGTACTTGGCGTGGGTACTTGGTTGGAGTCGGTCCTCCTTCGGGGACTCGCTCTTATGCGAGCACTATGTTTAACGGGACATAGAGAACGAACGGAAAATCTACCGAGCTTATTCATCTTTTTTATTCCACGGTCTTTCTTTTAATCTAGGAATGATTATGTAACACTCTTAAGTAGGTAATATTTTAATATTTTATTCATGAACGTTTTTAACATGATTTCGTGATATTAGCTAAATTGGCTCTCTTAATCGCTACAAAATTTAATATCATTAAAAATATGCAAATACAAGAAAATCGATGAATCTCTTACGCATTTCTTATTTATTAGGCTACAGTTATTCATTTCAGTTATTTTGATGTCAGAATTTATTAGAAGATGTCAGACTTCATTAATCATATTTACGTCAGTTGAGGAAACCTCATACACTTGAGAAATCTTCTCGCGTGTGAGAAAGGGAATGATTAGCAGTGGTTTCTGATTGTGAGTACACAAGAGATTTTCAATTTTACGCAATTAGAAGAGATTTAATGTTTAAAGATAGAAAACAGCGCACGAACTTATGCAATCACCTGATATATATATATATATATATATACCTTTTATTTGTATCAACAAATATATATTTTACATATAATAAATCTTAAGGAGAGGATCTTTATTTTACTATTGTATTATAAATTTGAACACATGAGATATCGAGTAACATATATAATTTCGTGCAGAATTATATTATATTTAAATACGGGCTGTACTCTCTCTATAATTTACTCTATTACATTTTTATCTTGTAATTCCTCATTTGTAACAACATAATAATTTTATGATGTTACAATCAGGAAGTGTAAAATCACATTATTTGGTAACTGATCTGTCAAATATGAATTGATTAACTGTTGAATGGTCTTAACGCGCATAATGGAGCTCTCGGCTTTTATGTATGTTGATATAATGCGACTCGTCGGAAAATGTTTTCGAATCTCAATTATCGGATCCTGGCAAAGTTCCCGTTAATGCATGCGTGTATGTACATATATATGTGTGTATGTACGTATATATATACACATACATACATACACACGTATGATATTGTGTATACGCGCATCTGCAAGCACTGATACGCGTGGTATCGTTCATCCGGAAATTCGCGAATAAATCTAATCTCTATCTGTAATATCATGAATAAAGTTTTTTGAGATATCGAATTTACGTCATGTTGTCTTCTATCAAAGAGATATAATTATTGTTAGTAGACATTGATGGCGATAGAATAGAGACGGTCTTAAAATATCGAGTTAATGCTGGAATAAATGTAATAAAAATAATACATATAAGAACTGTAAATTTTGTATTCACATAAAACGTTCTGATGGCGGCGGACAGTTAAAGAGGAAATGACAAAGGCGTCTTATGAAGAACTGCATCGCGTTGATGGTTACGAATGAAGCAATCTCTGCCACCCGTTGCCGTAAAAATAGCGCTTAACATGCAGTCAGAGCAGGCGAGTAGAGAAACTCAGAAAAAGGGGAAGCATGTTGAGTGGCAAGAGAGTGGAGGAAGGGAAAAAGGAGGAGCACGGGTTCATGAAGAAGGAGAAAAAAATGAGGAACGAGTGTCGTGCGCTCGCTGTCGAGGGGCCACACGACTTTTCATTTCCGAGAAGGGCTGTAAAGATTGCTCGCGTGCAACCCCCCGCACGCGTTGTGTTGCCGGCAAACTCGCAGCCGTATTACCGCCATAATAATAAGGTTAATGCCTTGCAAATTAAGCGGACGCGAAAGACCTTTCGCGTGGTTTTATGCCCATTTTAGTGCCGATGCCTGATCTTTGTCGACGAACCGCAATTATCGCGATAGCGCGTCGAAAACGATCTCGTGGGCTTCAATGAAATTTGTTAGGGTACCCTTGCATCTTTGATTACGTGAGTAGTCATAACGGGCCATTTATATGCGGAGGTAAATGGCGCATGAATTATACACAGTCGAAAATCTCAGATGATATACATATGAAAGAGAAAGAGAGAGACAAAAATGTATATCATAATAATATCGATTGATATTTCGTCTGGAATAATTATGCAAACTTGCGCGTAGAATGCATCTCTTTTTGCATTATTGAGAATTCTTTGAGTCCCATAGCTAATTATAAGATCTAATTGTAAGAGAGAATACTAATTAGATGGAGAAGGACGGTATCAGTAGATCGAGTGAATTAAACAAAGAGAATAGATCGAGAGATCCTTATTTGTTGAGAGTATACCTTGATCTTCGTTAACGGCATCCTATTATAACATCCGATAGGAGACGATGCACTCTTGTTTTAATGAAATTTCGAATTTCCGTGTAATTCACGGAATAATGTGGAAACGTCTTTGCCTCCTTTTCCGCCTTAATGCAATTTCCAAGTTTATATAATTAGTTCGTCGATATAAGGTTTGTTCGTCGGATATTGCCTACGAGAATAAAAACTTGACAAAATATTTACTACAAGTTGCATATTATAGTGTCGCTTTTATTATATTTTTATATCAAATAAAGAAGCCTAAATAATTTAATCTACAAATATCGTCGAGACTTGATAT